CCCGCCCCTGATTGTAAAGTGCTGCGTTCCAAATTTGCTATTCCTTACCGGTTAAATAGCTGACAACCAATCCGATAGCAATCGCCCCTATTGTACCCAATGGCGTGTAGTACATGTAGGAGATTCTGTAAAGGAAAAAAGCCGCTTCCGGCACCTTCTTAGGAGAATCGGACGACAACGTGATGCTTAAGTAGTCGGCCACCCAGTCGGCGCTGCATCCTTCCACCGAAACGGATTTTTGGGGAAATCGGATAATCCCATGGGCAATATCGGTTTGAGATCCCACGGAGATCCATGTGATGAATGCGCCGCTTAAAAGCCCCCCAACCAGAGCCCCCTGAAACGGACAGAAATCACCTAAAAGTGGATACTAGGGAGCAATTTACCTCTGGAGTGGCCCCTGGAAAGAACATTCCCAAACAGAACACGCCCAATAAGGGCCCGGCAGTGATCGCTCCGATGCTTCCAGCGGCCTGGATTAACGTCCCGAGTTTCTCCACGACGAACACCAGCCCCACGCAAATCACTCCGATTGTTGCGACGATCATTTTCATCAGAAAACTGGCCTGGGCTTCAGTCAACGGCCGCTTTAGTCGCGGCTTAATCAGGTCCTCAAAAATCACTCCGGTCATCGAGTTTAGTCCGGTGGACATYGAGCTGCATACAAATCAGTGAGCAGGTACGGGAAAAGTACAGAAAATCGACTACTTTGTTGAAATTGAGAACTAAATTGCGCAAGATTCCATAGGTTGGCAAGTTGTTTTTACATATATGCTACTTTACAAATGGACGATGTCTTAAGCCRGAAATTCACATAAAAAAACACAATAAGACTTGAAGTAAAATGCGCAAGTACCTCAAAGCTGCACTGAACACTCCACTAACAAACATGCCTGGCAGGCCTGGGATGTCGCCAAGAGTATCCATGATAAAGTAGGGCAGCAACTGGTCGGATTTATCAATCCAGCCTCTTGTGACTGGATCGCACTTCTGGTAGTAGGCGTAGATCACCAGGCCCATGTAGCAGCACATTGACACCAACACCCAAAGACCCACAACCAAGATTCCGATGGTTCTATGAAACATTTGCTGTAGTTGCAAAGAGTGTGGAGGTCTGGATTAAGGCCTACATGCGAGCTGATGCGAGTGTGGGCATTGCCAGACATCGTTGGACCATCGCCTGGTTAATCGAGCAAGAGGCCAGCCAGTAGAAGAAGTTGCCAATGGTCACTGTCCAGAAGGAGTGGCGGATGGTGGGGTCTAGATCCATTCTATGAGAACCCCATTGCATTGATCCAGCCACAGTTCGATTCTATCCATCGTTTAGGGCGACTTACTCAAAAAATTCTATCCTGCCTCCTTCAGAGTTCCGTTTCCAGACTTCCTTGACGCCCCCCACTCGCACAGTTCCGACCACCACAGTAATCACCAAGGCTCCAAACATTACGGCCGTTTGGATGGTGTCCGTCCATACCACAGCCTTCAGCCCGCCCTGGAAGATCAGCTCTATTAATAGAGTAACAGTAGAGGCACCAGGTTCTACATCAGTCAAAATCATTGTCATCTACACCATAAGATCATGGCGCAGTCGAAAGCAGTGAGCGCCCGCGGGGTTTCGCCGGCTTACGCGCTGCCCGAAGAAGATGAGCTGATGCTGATAATACTGATGATCGCTCTCATGGCTTCGGTTCTACTGCCGCTGCTGATGGTGATTTCGCCGTTTCTTCTGCTCGACAGCCCCTCTTTGACCGCTTTGGTCATTTTCATGGCTTTAATGCCGGGCATGCTTTTGAGCTCCGGCGACTTTCGCACCATGATGGGACAATGGCTGGGGCACCTGCTAGAAAGGCGCTGATCTCGCTACTTACTAAGGTCGTGTAGAAGATGCAAACTATGCAAACCACCGGCGTCACCAGATGTAGATTAATGCCTGTAACTGAAATAAACCATTCAATTAGTGAGGGTTTCATTGCGCGAAACGTCCGAACTGGATCTCCTAGTCCAATACTTACTCAATCGAATACTTGCCTTGACTGAAAGCCAATGCCGGCACGTAAATGACTATGGGGATGTAGAGGAGCATCTTGGCGAGGAACATGATGGTTCCTAACATGCGGACAGTGTTGCTGAACCGGAGGTTTAAGTACTTTAAAAGGAAGCTACTTCATTTATCGGTCGCGTGGGCGTTTGTGCGCCACCTACCTCATAGGTTGAGGTGATTTTCAACTGGTAGAAAACCGGCAGGATCGCGTAGCCCATGATGATGGCGACGAAAACTTCCGAAACTAAGGTCATCCAGAACTGGGTTCCATAGGTGTACATCTCAGCGGGGATCCCTAACAGGCTGATGCCTGAGATGTAACTGCAATAGGTTAAATCTCAAGAGCCGAGAGAACAAGAACAACTACCCAAACAGAGTAGGCTCCGCCCCCTTACTAACCCACACCTCCCTAATTATTTCAGAAACCCCGACTATGCCTAAACGAGAGCACGAGCGCAAGCTTCGCAAAGAGCAAGAGGCTACTGCTCATGTGTTTCAAGAGTTTGTCAAGTCGTTTCAAGAGGCACCAATGCCGAGCAAGACGTTTGTGAAATCCGGCGTTCTATTCGCCGATAAAAACGAGCTGAAACCTTTGGAAATCCAGCTGTACAAGCCGACGCCACTGATTAAAGCCAGCACGGCCATGCCGAGTGCTTTGGAGTGTGCAAAGCTGGTGAGAGAGGAGCCGAAGCGAGGCAAAGTCAAGCCCAAGTCGAACTTGGAGCTGTTAAAAGAGGAGCTGAAGCAGCGCCACTCTGAAAAGGGGGAGCGCGATAAACTTAAGGTTTAACTGGTTAACGGGATCTGGCCGAGTTTTGGAACGTTGTTTGGTTCTCAGGAGGAACTAATCATGTCAGGTCCAGCTTTGAGCTACTTCGATGGTGGCGACCCGAACTCCACCAATCTCTTCGTCGCCAATCTCAACACCGATGTGACAGAAGCCAATCTAATGGAGGAATTCGGCATTTATGGGCCTTTGGCCAGTGTGAAGATTATGTGGCCCAGAGGTAAACCTCTCTCTTCCCATTAGTCTTTCTCCTATTCCAGCTTCCTCATTCTCCTTCAGGCAAAGAGCGGTTTAAAAACATGAACACCAACTGCGGATTTGTGGCTTTTATGAGCAGGCGCGATGCGGAACGCGCGCTCAACCACATGAAGAACCGCATTGATATGCGGGTGGGCTGGGGAAAGTCTGTGGATTTGCCCACTCATCCCGTCTTCATCCCCCCCGAGCTGTTGAAGCTCTATTTGCCTCCTCCATCCAGTGGCCTGCCCTTCAACGCTCAACCATCCAAGGCGGCTGATTGGGAGGGAGCCACAGTGAAAGTCACAATTCCTCTTAACAAAAAGCTGCTGGCCTTGATCAATCGCATGGTGGAGTTTGTGGTCAAAGAAGGCCCTCTATTTGAGGCAATGATTATGAATAAGGAGCTGAGCAATCCCGAGTACAGCTTCTTGTTCGACAACAAGTCGGCGAATCATGTGTATTATAGGCGAGTAAGGGGTTTTTCCCTAGGGATGTTTGTGCTAACGAAGTGGTTCTAGATGGAAGCTGTTTAGCGTCCTGCAAGCGGACTCTACGCGGGAGTGGAGACTACAGCCATTTAGGTAATTGTGCGGATTTCCAGCTGTTCATTGCTAATTTTCGTGTGCACTCAGAATGTTTGTTGGAGGCTCCATTTGGCTGCCGCCGGTAGCCCCGAACTATCAAGCAGGCATGCCCGAGGAGCTTGTCAATTCCCTGGACTCCAGCAGCAGTTTGTCGAGTAAAAACCGCCGATCTTCCAAGTTTCTTTACTGTTCATGAGTTAATGTTTCCAGACAACCAATGCGAGCGTCTAATCGAAATAATCCAGAGCTTGAACTTGAGCCGCAGCTCCATCGCGGAAGCAATGGTGTTTTGCTTGAATCACTCCGCGGCCCTTAAAGATTCTCTGGATATTATTACAGAGTCTTTGTTCAATCCAACCACTCGCCCTGCCAGAAAATTGGCAAGGTAGTGAAGGTTTCTCTATCCTTTCATTGTTCTACTAAGATGGTTTTCTAGGGTATATCTGCTCTCTGACGTGTTGAGCAATTGCGCCAATGAGCCCAAGGGGGTGAACATTCAAGCCATATTAGAACAAGTCTTCAACGATCTTAAGAGCAGCTTCGCTGCTTTTGAGCCCGCGGAAAAGACCCAGTTCGGCCCAAAAGTCCTGCGAGTTCTGCGCCATTTAGACACCATCAGCTTCCTGACCTCCAGCCTATACGCAAAAGTAAGCAGCCCTTTACTTCAAAAGTCCACAGCGCATTTTTGGAAACTCTTTGGGGCACTTCAGTTTGGGAGCAGTTTATATTTTCTATAGCGTTTGATGTGTGTTGCGTGGAGCGAGTCCATAAACAAAAAGAACCGGGCAAAGTGCACTCGGTCAGGTTGTTTACGGCGTGAACGACTATCTAGTCGTTCTTTTCCTCATACAGGATACTATATATTTCCTTGTCTAGAATGACGTTACAGACGTCATTTAAATACCCGTCTTATTTTACGATTTAACTATCACCGACCCGTTGGGGCGTGGTTTATGAACCTGCTCCTTCTGGTTGACGCGAATCGCGCAACGCTGCTCGAAAATTGAAGTGGTCCCTAATAGGGTAAAATTAACCAGAATGAGGAGTTTTGCATGTTAGTCTTAAGACTAGTTCAGCAACTTAAGACTGGTTATGCTGAAACTCACCGAGTATTCGCTACTGGATCTGTAATGGTTGTTTCAGTTTCAGGCCGATTTCAAGCCAACCAGCGAGGAACCGCTGGACGAAAAAAACCCGCTGAAGAACATCGACAAGCCGAAACGAGTAACCACGGTAAGTTTAGAGCAGAGTTTTCTAGTTTGGAAACCATTCGAACGATTATTTTGGTTTTTCGTAGATTCCACTACAGTACTTTGTGCCTTCGAAATGGGATACAGTCGATCCAGAGGATTTTGAGACGCAGTCGATGTCTTCCTCCAAACTTTACTACTTGGAGCTGCTGAATGAACGCAACAAGCAAGGTGAGTTTAGAAAATAGTAGAGGTTTTGTTAGTTGTTCACTTCTGGATGTCGTATGGAAACACAATGCGGAATTGTTTTGATAACGCGAGTGGATTTTTCAGAAACCTCAATTGATAGGTCGAAGGCCAGAAAGAGGAAAAGCGATAAGAGTCCTGCGCGAAAACCCATAAACGACAAAAAGCGCAAAACCCCTAGATCTTAGTTATGAATTTGTAGATGTTAAATATATTACAGGCCAATTAGTTTGCTTGATAGAGGGTGCAAAAGTTAGTTATCTTCCACTAGTACTCACCTAGCAATGAGGGACATGGAAATGGGAAAAATGCCCATAGTTTTGCCGCCCATCAAATACTCAGAAGTGGTGTTTTGCTTGATTTTGGCGAAGAACGCAAAATACACTCCGACAAGTGCGGACACGATCAACATAATGGCAAACACCATATAATCAATCCAGTCAAAGTATTTTTTCACTTGATCTTCCGCGTCCATTCTTGCTTCCTTTGGTTTGTAAACTGCAAGATTCTATAAATGGAACGCTGCAGAACTCTAAATGTGGGCAATTGCTCGGCTGATACTCTAGCCCCAATTTAGCCTCAATTGAACAATTGGGTTGCCCATCAAAAGTATTACATTGTTTAAGATGGAATCCGGAGGATGAGTGTAATTGCTGGGAAATGAAATAGTCGGATTATTTGCAATTTGCGAATTTTGCCGAATTATCACGCGAATGATTAGCAGCCGCTGTTTTGATTCAATTTTAGCACTTTTAACGGCAAAAAACGGTGTTTTCTCCACGTTTGTTCTTGCTTCTGTTTGCTAGTGGGAATTTGGGACCTTGTCTTTGGTTTTCTATCCATCCCTTTATTTCCTGCTGTTTCAATTGGCTTAGATTTCTTTTTCTCTGCTCTCATTTTCCTTCCTACTTACTTTGTGCTTGTTTTTCTTCCACTTTCATTTCTGTGCTTGTTTCTTGACTGCAAGAAAACCCGCTTGATTGGCAATTTTATTAGCGCTTAAAGCTTCAAACTGGCCTTCTTTCTCCCATGCCTGAACAACTTTTGAAAGAACTAAACATTTTGCGGCAGCTGAAGTTTTACAAAAGAAATTTTTGTCGAAAAACTCACTAGAGGATTTCCGCCCGCATTTTCACGTTTTATTTTTTTTCTCGCAAACCAACAAGATTTCTTCGGAAAGTTATTTTTCCTTCATTCTATTAAGTGGCTTTCCATGAAAATATTTGAAATCAAACCGGATCAAGAACCAAAGCACGCCACTGAATTGAGGTCGGCAATATCTACAAAGATGTGGAATTTTTTGCTGAAATCTATATTAAGCGTGCTACTGCTGATTTGGATTAGACGATCAGAGCTTGAATGTGAGGAAAAAAATTGGGAAATTTGTACATTTTGGACAAGCGAATAGACGGCAATTTTTGAGTTCTTTGAGCACGAAAATGTTCATAAAAACGTGGTATTCTTATGCGTTAAAACCCAAAAAACCGATAATTTTGAACGGAATTCCCACGTTTTGGACACGCAATTACAGGCAAATCATATAAAATCCACTCTTTGCTCTAGAAGATATAATTTGTGCTTTCCCTGTGCGTTGATGTCGTTCCGGAGAGTCGCGACCTTTAAACTTGGTTTAAAAATGGTTCACTTTTGGAAGTGTAGGTGTTGAAAATGAAACTGCAAAATTAAGGGAACACTATTTATTTTAACTTAAACGATTGAAGTTTGAATAAATGTAACCAGATTGGTTGTATGCCATCAACAAACAGAAACGTGAAAAGAACAATATGCAATTACATTGATTTATCCTAACCATCATGCATCATCATCTACATATTAACCGATCGGGTAAACCGGATCGGGCCATCCATCGGCTCGACGTTAGTCTAACTTGTGTATAACTCTTTATGTAAAATATTGTTTACTCCCATTAAAAAACAACCTGAGTAAGTCCTGAGACGAATTATAAACGTTTGTAGATGTTGATGTTTTGCTTGATCTATATATTTATATTGAAGCACCTCAATTAACAAACTACTGTAAAGGGAGGGCGGTTCGATCGATCGGCCGGATTGAAAGATGGGCGTCTCGATGGAACCGCATGTACAACATTTGTGGGGTTCGCGATGAAGCAATGGCACACAATATATATGTATATTTATATACCGACTATTACCTATAGTTAATTAATGTTGCAAACGGAAGAATGATTTATTTTACAAATAGCATTCACCAGACTCTTAACTTATGATACCCAAGTAAAACATGAACAACAAAATTAATGTTTTATAGAAATATTATATAATTACTGAGGTAGTTTAACTCCTTAGACCGGCGGATAGTTTCAATACTTCACGGTAAAGGTCAATCTCTCTATCTACCAAAGCTACTGATTTTCAAGTGCGCGGAACTGATGATTGAGACGGTCCTGGTTGTTATCAATAAGTTGCTACTATCCGCGTCCAAGCTCTACTAAATCTACAGCGGGCTGGTTTGCACGATCAGTCTCCTTCCAGCATTAACATGTACTATAAACTAAGTAAATTAAAAAAATATATTCGTCACTTGCAATAATCAATCAATCAAGTGTACGGATACGGATAAAACATGAGTTACAATGTCGGTTATAATAAGGGCCTCTGATAGGCGATAACGGAGGCTTAATTGGTTAAGCTAGTTGACGAATAAAGACCTTAACAGTACTGAAACGCGTGAAGCAGCAAGTTTTCAAAGTGGGGTTTGTGTACAGACTACCAACTTTTATGTTAATCTAGACATTTCAACTGATAAACGAGTAAAATTGACTGCTAGCCAGTAACGAGGAAAAGGAAACTCATCGACCTGAAGAGGGCGCATTATCACTAATAATATATTTAAAGAAAAAACGTAATAATTAGTGAAACTACACAAAAAACCTTCATATTTATACTAAACGTCAATATTACCCGTATACAGGTTTCGTTAGGCACTATTATACCCATAGTTTAATGCAAATAGCTAAATGTTGATGCGGCTTCAATGTGCTTGTTGATTGCCGATTGCGGATCATCTGATTCTGATTTACTTATAGTCGTTTTGTCAGTGTGGATGCGGCCCGGAATGTTCATACCGAGTGCATCGAGTGCGCTCGGTATAGACATCAAGTCACTTTGCACATCCACTCTGATGTTGCCTAAACAATCTATGTGTAAGACTGGGAGGTAAAAAGCCGACGAATTTGGTTAATAATATGGTTTCAACGATTATCAACTGGGTCGGATCGATTAAATTCTACCATCCAATGAAACTGTAAGCGTTCCATATCTATAAACATGCGGATTGCTGTTTGTCTACAGGCTGGTCCATGTTTAAAGTGCGTTCGATTCAACCGCTACCGAAAATAATCAGAAAAATCACCAAAGAGAATTAATTCGCCATTTGTGCCACCCTGTACAATTTGCGGGCAAAGAATTTCAGTCAGGGACATTTTAAAGTTACCTTGCACCATACAAGGGTGTCCCCACAAACATTACGTGTGTTTTTTTCAATTGAACACCCCAAATATCAAGGCAAATTACTGGCTTTTTATGTGGGACACCCTATAAGTTTTTGCATCAACGGACGCAGAATTTGATCCGTTCTTATGCATCTTAATGTGAACTGGCAGTTGTAAAATTAGTAGGTGGCCAATATGGTCTTCAAAAACGTCAAACTTAGAGCGACATTGACATTTCATCGGTCAGTCAAAAGTTGTCAAAGTGAGGAACTATTCAATAGAGAAAGGAACTGCTCTCGCCATATAGAATGACATGGAGATTAGGGATAAAAAGTAATTTGAAAACAAATGTTTTCAGGGAGACATTTCTGTAAAAAAATAAATAAAAAAAACTATTGACTTGTTTAAAGTCTCTTAAAAAACTATGTAGTTGAATAAAGTCGCCCAGATTTAGCGCCACCGTGTATAAGGTGGCCCTCTTAAAGCAATCTGCGGGTGACGCTATGCAGGTTTTGGGAAATATTTGTTTATTAGAAAGTTGAGTGGATTTTTCTGGATATTTTCGCTAGTTGATTGCGGTTAGTCGGGCGGCACTTAAATGCGGAAACACCCTGTATATGGGGAACAGCATGTGACTGACGTCGTTGGGTGAATTATTGGGTTGCTACGCTGCGGAGGTTACCCGTTCTGGTGCCTAAAAGTAGCGGGCAATTTTGGGAGGGGGTCTGAAACGAAAAATCGCGTCGTTTTCCCGAAAAGCCCCCCCGCCATAGTGGGAGGTTCTTCCGAGAACGGGGGGATTTTGTCGATTTTTTTTTGGATTTTGTAGCGGCCTGGAAAATTCCTAACGTTGTTAGTAGGTAATATTGGAGCATGCGGCTCGCGTATTGATTGACCCGGAATGCTTCCAAGTATTACATACTGTAGTTTCTTTTCGATATCGTGTGAAATAAATGGATTGCCTATGCATTAGCGCTCGTTTTGTGTGGTTTTTGTGTGAACTTTTTGAAAGATTTGCTTTGTTTCGTCCCGAATGTCGGTGGGCAAGTGCTTGAACTGCTCTTATCTGCTGCCGGAAATAAATACATGAACCCTTTCATTTTTTTTTCGTTTAAACAAATCTGGTAACATTCTTGCACTTTGGCACACTTTATAAACCTTTACAAATAATTTAAAAAATTTTATACATAAAAAATCTAATAAATATATCCATTTTTTTCACAATTTTAAAAATAGCGACCCCGCTATACTTAAAACGCTCTTAACAAAAAAATATCCTCCCCAACAAACAATTTTTTTTATCAAAAATATTCAATTTTTACAATTTCCCCACAAGGGGGCAAGGCCTGGGCGGGCCCACTTCCCTCTTGATTTTCCTTTGTACTATTAGGGATGCGGATGGCCTTGACGCAAGGCACCATGCCGCCAGCAAGATAGAGTCCACCTTGCTAGTCCTATCTGGTATTTATCGTCTATGCAACAATTAATTCTTCGACTGCGCCCCTTTGGGGGCCGCAGCCTTTGCAAGGTTGCAGCCAGGCCTGGTCCGGCGATGAAACAAATTACTGTCCAGCCCTGGCTGCAACAGTTCCAGATATCGATTTAACAATCTCCTAACAATAAAATTAAAGTAATTTAACTTAATAGTCCGAAGCATTCACGTCTTACATTGTCTTTTTAGTCATATAAAAAACACTTCAAATTCACACATTCAGAAATAATGCGGCGCCAGCCCACGAAGCGTCGCGCCTTCATTGGCTGCCGCCCTTTTTCAGGAACTTTGGCGTCTTCTTGTTTCGTTTTTGTCTTTTTGTGACTAATAGAATTGTTGTTGGTTGTTGTTGTTTGTTGCATTTTATCATAATGGAAATCCAAATTTGCCGCCGTCGGGCGGGGCGTTTCGATGCACATTCTTGATTGCGCATAGAGGTTCGTATCTTTGGTAGTTCATATATAGTGTGGCGCAATTTGGGCCTGCATGTACGCATTTTTTTTTTTTTTTTGGTTAGGCTAACAAGCTTTAAGGATTTTTTTCGCAAATGCCCAGTTTCGTCTTTAGCCGTCCTCATGCAGGCCGCGCTATTGAACCACACGTGGTACAATCAGGTAAAACAAGCAATTAAAACTGTTAAGGAAAAATGACAAAGCATCTCAAACGCTGAGGTTGCAATGGTTGGTTGCGGTAAAAATAACGGAAATTTGTATGGCTATAAATCTAAAATATATTTTGATTTCTTGAGGTAGATTGTAGTGTAGGCACGGAGTTGACATACCATATTCCACTAACTGTTCTCCAAACTTTCCACTTAGACGCTTAACACTTACATGTATCGGGAAAATGGGGGGGCGAAAGCTGCTCGCGCGCCCTCTCGCACTGAACTGACTGACTGACTGACTGGAAACCATCAAAAACCATAGAAGGAAAAGCAATCGGAAAATGAATATTGCAAGTAGTGGAAGGCCTCGAGATGGTCCTATACAATAAGGTATGTGAAACCTATGCGCAAGGCAGTGAATGTTGTTGACTGGTCTCTATTGTTGTTCGGGTGTTTGCGCCTCGGGCTGCGATTGAGTGCTACCCTCTTTCGCTGGGCGCGCTGGGCGCGGCCTTGCGCCCGCTGGCGCCGGAATGGCTTGCAATACCATCGCGCGAATTCTTCGTTGAGCCGACTGCAAACGACAAAACCAATCACTCTCGATAATCTATCACTATCACCCCGATCATCAGATAATAACCTCACTTAATGCGAGGCAAAATACCCCCGTCAAAGCTTTGTCGGCTAAACATCCTCTGGGTCTCACCTGAACACTAAAGAATGGTCCAATGATATGTACAGTGGTTTCATCTTCTTGCGGCGTGGCTCCTTGCTCGGGCAACTTGATAACACTTCCAGTGACTCTTTGCAGCTCGCGCACATTCTGGCCGCCCTTTCCGATGATGCGGCCCACTTGCGAACTGGGCACCAAAATTTCCACTGTCAGTCTCACATCATCCGAGCCGGCCACGAAGCCCTCCTCCCTCATCTTCTCGAAGATCAAATATTGCGCCTACAAATACAAACGGGAGATGAAACTACGCCCACTCGGGAAAAATTGTTGTGTTTTTATTGATGCGTCGTATGGATATGCTGATTCATTGGCGTTTGATTTGGGTAAATTGGTAACTGTTGACATCAGCCGATGACAGCAAACGTCAAGACCGGAAGGTCGCCATTTCTCTCTCTCCGCTGTCTGTCAAAGCGCTGTCACCTGTCCTTTGTCATTTTATGAATGCGTAAAAACTGCAGAAGAAAATCCATTTCCACAAAAACGCCAACAAGAAAAGATGTTGGGACATGGATTTTCTATACGGTGAGCCATGGATAACCTCTCACGCTCAAACTAACAGTTGATATTACGTCTATCGTTAACATTAACAAGCGCATATATCCCGGTGCATTTATTGGAGACAATTAAAAAAAATTACCTTCCATTGCGCTTCAGGGGTTCCCACAACGGTAACGCGTCGTTCGCTAGGCGTTTCTTGCGGCTTCGACTCGTCCAGTGGGGCGATTTTGACCGAAGCGCCCGAAAAGCGAATAATGTTGCGGATATGCGAGCCCTGCAATCAACAATTCTCAGTCGGACCAAATTAAAATGATGTCGGGCTGCGCTCACTTTGGTTCCAATGATGGCGCCGACGGCGTTGTTTGGAATGTACAAGTAGGTTGATTCTTGAACATCGGCTGCTTGGCTATGACTGAGCCCTGTAGATGGGAAAACTCCCGCTGGATAGGGAGCCTGGCCTGCGTACAGGCCACGCGATCCATACCCAATGCCTGCAGTGGCCATCATCGCCATTGGATGCAAACCTGCAAGCCAAAATCAACATGTTTGTTCAAGCCATTCACAGCGAAACTGAGAAATTCGCAGAGAACTCGATCGGAAATTCGGCAACAGTGTATCTTAATTTTTCATTTTACAGTCCTCCCAGTGCCGATGAGCTTTTTTGGTCCCAAATTCGCCTTACTGGGGGTTTCCCATCAATAATTTCGGTGGAAAAGTGCCCGGATAATGGGGAAAGAGTTCACGGAAATAGTATTAGTCTAATATTAGCGTTTGAATAGGTACAGGTTTGGTAATTGTCGGCGTTTCCTTGTATAAATGATCGATATAAATGAGGCACATTGGCGTACTTTGAACATGCAAACGCGCACGAACAGTTGATTTTTACCTGGAAACATCATGGTTTGAGGAGCCATGGCTTGGAGATCGTTCTCGTAGCTTTGCCTCAATTTGGCGCTGATTTGCGCCTCCGCCTTGCTCATGTTGTCGATCGAGCCTTTGACCGTAATGATTCGCTCCAAATTGAACGAGCTGATGTCGTTGATGCTCGATACGGTGATCTTGGTCTCAGTTTCCTGCATGATCCGCTTGATGGTGTTCCCACCCTTCCCTATGATCCGACCAATCAGGTTGTTATGGGCGAGTATTTTCAAAGAGATTTCGCTGGAAAACCGAGCATTTTTTCACAAACCACGCCCCCCAAGGCGCCGTCGCCTCCAATCACTCACCCTTTATTCGTGTTGTTCGACTCCTGCTGCATCACCTCCAAGATCTTCTTGCAGGCGTTGGTGCAGTTCTCCGGATTGCCGAAAATTGTGATCGCCTTCTCCAATGAGCCAACGTTGTCCTTCCGATGCACGTCCACTCGCGCCCTGGTCATTTGCGTTATTTGCCTAATTGTGGAACCCTGTCTTCCAATAATAGCTCCTACCTACGGTTGAGCATCTGTTTGATCAAGTGTTTGATGTATGGAGTGGCTGCATGCTTACCATATCACTTTGTACTAGAATTCGCAGTGGAAAGTCTGTTTGTCGACTTGGTCCGGGAACGACCCCAAATGGGACTCCCGGACCTCGCGGCCCCCGTCGCGATCGCTTCTCCACCGCCAGCTCCACTTTGATCGCTTTGCCCTCCACTTCGACTCCATTCAACTGAACAACAGCTCTGCAACAAAACAACTCAATATCACCCTCTTCTTACTAGTTTTTACTTGAATTATTATAACCTCTTCTTAATTCGCAATTAGTTTACTATTACCATCCTTTTAAAGGTAGGTATAGTCTTTTCAACGGCTATTGAGAATGAAATACTTCATGCTGGTGAACAGTCAGCTTAAAAAACCGGTTTTAATCATATTTTTTCAAATTGAACACCCTGTGTATCAGCTCATATGGGTGAATACCATTAAATTCACTATGAGATGATGTATCATGTTCCTATAAATAAAACGTCAAATTTCCGGAAAAAATGGAAATGCTTACAAAAATTCGATTAATTTGACGTATAATTGAAGTATTTCTCGTGAAGTAATGCTTCAAACCAGTTGTCACATTGACAGTCAATTATGACACATCATGGAAATTTTCGAGAAATACGTCAAAACAAATGTATTTTTTTCGGAAACTTGACGCTTAATGACATACAGGATGTTTTTAGTGACATTTCGATGTGACACTTGATTTCAATGTGTGATTTGAAGCCGATTTATTGGCTGCTTAATGATAAAGTTTACATCGACATTAATTTGGCTTGCTAGAGCAACAAACTGAACTCAAGTGCTCCGACGACTGCTTCAAACGGACATTAAGCGATCCAAATAGGTTCGGTAGTTTTCACTTAAATGAACTTCCGATTGGTACTTTCAAGTGTCAGTAATTCTTGTTTATTACTTTTGTACGGTTATTAAACACAGCCTCTTTTTTCAATTTTCCTCCCCGCTTTGACTAGTCGAATTCCCGATTAGAAGTTTCGTGAAAATTAAGTTTTTTGATGCATTTTGAAGTGAAAACTCGCAGCTATTTTTCATTTAGCATTTCCAAGAGAGTAAAGTCTATTGAGACTTATTAACAACTCCAGGCCAAAAATTGAAATCGAGCTCGGACCAATCAAATCCATCCCATCTTTACCGCATTGCCCAATTTACGTTGTCTCAATAGACTTTGCATAGACTTTTTTTTCACTCTGAAGGCGCCAGGCCTGTTTTGTGTGCATTTTTAATGGTATGTAACTGGATTTGAATGGGCAATTTGACAAAATAAAAAAAAAACTTCGCAAAACCATATGAAAAATTCAACTTCAGGCCGATGTTTGAATGGGGGAAAAACTGATAATAAATCCCGAACTGAATCTCCACTCGACTGGGGCAATAACGCTAATTTACATTATGCATATCGGGCCGCTTACCCAGTTTTGCAGCGCCAACAACAATTATTATTATTATACTTATCCAGTCTTCCGGTGTTATTGAACTGTTGCCTTCTGAATGTTTACAACACGACATTGGCCACTTGGATTGTTGTAACGATCGAAAACTGTGATATATGCGTGTTTCACGCACTCGTATTGATTCATTTGATGCGTTTTCATGTCGAAGAAGTCCCAAACAGGCTGTGGTTTTTCCAGTCGTGACATGTTTAAGTAATCCGACTTCTAAGCACTTTTCGCATTCGATTCATTGAATTCTTAGGAAACAGTCTTCGATTGATTCAACGATCGAAACAAACGAGCGCGAATCCAAGCAGAAGGGAGCTTAAAGGGCTCCAAGTTAACGGTAACCATCGAAATTTGCGGATTTCGATCCCTAACGAGGCAACCAGTTAAAAAGGCCCCAACCGCAAAACATATGCGAAACAAAAAAAATAAACGCAAAACGACGAGTTGGGCACAAGCCTCCTTCGGAGGCACCTGCCCGACGTGTTTCGGTAATTATTCAGCCTCGGATCGAATTATTTCTCGATTAAGACGGTGCTTATCGTCGATAATCACCGCATATCGCCACAATTTGATTTTAAATACCCGCTTTATTAAAACAATCGGTTTTGTGCAAGTACAACGTTTCCCCCGTCGCGTGTCCAACCATCCTGAATGGAAAATTGCTCGATTCGTCACTTGAGTGGAGAAAATCGATTCTCATTTTGGTACTTTGATGCGTCGAAAATGGGTATTTTGTACTCGCCTATGAGTTAAGATTGGGATGAGTTTTCCAGGCTTTTAGGCTGTCGTGAAAAATCGTTTTATTCTGACGTTTCGCACGCGCAAGTGCCTTCAATCTTCAGAGGTGCTGCGCTTGTTCACCACGGCCTAAAAGCCCCGAAATTCGTGCGAAATATTAACACTATCACTGGCGTTTCTAACCATCCATAGTTTGAATTCAAATGTTATGGAAGAGGCCATAAGAATTCGGGTGATTTTTTCTACTAAACTTAATCGATTCAAGTGGTACTTACTGTTGCGCTTGCTCAGTTGTTTCATAGGTGATTTGGACCACTTGGGTGGCCGGATCTTTGGATGTAAGTTTATCACAATGAATGACGCTGCCATGCTGGCCCAGCAGCAGTTCGATGTCTTCAAACTTGATTTGTGGACCCAAATTCGATATTATGATTTTTGACGTTTGGCTGTAACAAAACTACCCAATAGAAACTCGGCATTTCATGCAACGACCACGCCCCCTAGCAAGTCAATCGCGTAAACCACAATTTGAACGTCACTGGTGACGGATTAATGTCACATTGATCTACTGACAGTTGACGGACAGGTCAAGCGCAAAATGACTTAAAAATGTCAATCAAGAAACGTTTCAATTTTGCTTCAGTCAATCGCATCATATGAACGCAACCAACGTTTTGATATTTTTGTCTGTATCTTTTGAAACTTAGATACTTTGAAAGTTAAAAAACTATTTTGGAATTGAAGACTGAAAGGGCACCAACTTATTGTGTGAACAATAGACCTTCGTTATTTCTTGGCCAATAAATCGGGGAAAAAAGTCTTCTTTAGGGGAACGCTGAAAACGGTTTGGCACCTGAAAAAAAATGACGTTGGCAGTTGGTAAAGCTGTCACTAGTCGATTAGTTGCCATAGAAATGCTCAGCCAACTTCATCCAAATGTGAAGCATTGTAACTTTTGGTCCTTCGAGCCGGCCGTGGCAGGATTTTGTTTCGGTTTCAGTTGCAATTGCCAGTTGACAAATCGGCCGCGGCTTGATTTCAATTGCGCCCAGGGCGGAAACGCATCGCGTTACAAGGTGCACTTTTGCACCCCTTTTATTGCATTTTATTATGCATACACCAACATTAACTATCACCGCAACAGGTGAGAGAGACCAGGCATTGGTCATCTTATTAATGAACATCGGTGGCATCGGCATGGAATTTCGATTAAAGCGACATTAACGGTGAATGTTGTTTTGGCCACGAGTTTGATTATCGGCGTGGAAGCATTTGGAAAACGATTCATTCTTCTTTGATGGGTCCGTTTAGCATTTCGGTTTAGGCGCGGGCCGAAAACGCCGTCAAAATAATGCAGAGCGGCCCGAAATAGCTCCGCAGAGCAGACACAAACAGAAAAGGTAACTGCTCTATTTCTGGCACAGTGTTTTTGCGTTCCGCAGAACGTCTCAAGGGTTCGCAAGTCGTTTTTATTTTCTTCAAACATCCTATCGGTTTTCTTCTCTACATTGGCCGATTCGTGGATTCCGGCCTGTTTTCCATTGAAATTCGTAAACAGAGTCTTATCTAATCCATTTCCCTGATAAGGCCTTTGAGCTCATCTAACTGGCACGTGATGGGGACCAAGTACTCAACAGCTAATCAATAAATTTTACATGGTATCGTTTGGGCTCGATACAGTGACGCTTCATCGCCCTCTTTTTCCACAGTGTTTCTTTTTAATAACACGCCACTGATCCAGTGGGTCAATGTCAAACACTAGTAGGTGGCATTTGTTTTTGACGTATCTGGTTGTCACGGTAGCATATTAGAAACTTCTTTTCACATCCAAACTTTTGCAATTTTGTCCTCTGGTTTGAGTTCGAATTGACCGTAGTTTTGCACACTTATTACCCAACCCTGGTAAAACCATTGAAATGAGCCTAAATGCACATCAACAGTTTACAACCCGATGATGAAAAGGGCGTAGTTCATTGTTGGGGCACGCCACTGGAAAAGGGTGAAAACTGGCTTTGGCAAGTGGCAACTAAATGCATCGTCAGTAGTTGCGATGAATCAAGGCTAAAACGCGCCTGAAACTGCAAAATGCGCTCAACTAATCAGCTGCATAGCGAATTCCGTTTGACTATGGAAAAAGAGCTACGGCCCTGGTGGCGTTGAAACGAACGTTGACTTTCAGCTAGGACTAGGGGGCGCACTTACCCACAAACACCCTCTTACGCAAACGGTTGTTGTCAGACTTACCTGAAAAAAAAAGAAAATTACGTTAGAATGCATCGAACAGTTGTTGCTAAACTATACGGGGCGACATTCCACAGATAAGGCACTAGCATCGAAGATAAGGGAACTTTATCTGTTTGTCAATAATAAACTGGAATTAGATCCAAAGTCAACGCCAGCAGATAGCGGAAAAGCGTTGTTGGCTTTGAAGATGTGGTAGTAGATGGGAAGCTGATGGTGGCTTCTCGAATGTCAATCAATTGGATCAAGGCAATTTGCGAGCAATTTTACAGTAGTTTAGGGACAATTTAGGGTTGAAACCTGAAAAGGGACGATTTACAAGCGCCAGCATGGATATCTCGGTTATTAGAGAAGGTGCGAGGTCGGCTCGACTAGGGAAAAGTTGCGCAATAACATGCCATCGCGAAACTTGCAATATTTTAACCAAGTTCCGACATTTCTTAAAAAAACTAAATTTTCAAAAACAATTTATTTCATATTTTGACGTTTACAAATGACATTGGCTGAAATTCCTTCTTAAATAGTCATTTAGTTTGACGCGACAAATCGCTGCTTTTGACATTGGCATCTAATAATGACGGCCTTGAGGCACTCAAATATTGCTTTTGGTGTAATTTGTGGCAATGGCTTTGGCAAACGTCACACAGAAAAATGACATTAGCGACATAACCGGCAAAAATTGGCATCTGATTGACGCTCGCTTTATAGTTTTTGATGCTGACAACATTTGAGTTTGTACGGATTGGTTTTGGCATTGACATTTCCAAGGGGCATCTTTAGTACTGTTAATGACATTTTTGACATTACATGACAGTGACATGAGTTAAAAAAAACTTTAGAAAATTGAGATTTAACACAAAACGCCTTCAAAATCTAGAAGTTCATTTAACAATAAGGTTGGCATTGATGTCGTCAAAGTACACTTTGACGTTTTCCGTAATATTTGAATTTTACATCAATTTCATGTCAAGGAAGCATGTGAATGCAACAAACTCATTGAAAAACACGTCACAAGTTTCAGCTTCAGAGTACTCCATATTTACGGTATATTTAAAGCGTTTTTTGAGC